CAACAGCAAGGATATTAACTAAGCCCATTGGCCCTGTCCTAACGAGTGTAGCCTCCAACACAGAGCTCTTCAATTCAATTCCTGACGCAGTCCCTGAAAAGACGATGTTCCTCAAGTCAAATGATAACTTCCTGTTGATGTTCCTCTTCCTCTTCTTTTTCATTCTCTTTTTGTGCCTGCTCTCCTACAACTGTTACAAAGGGTACTTGCCAGGGCAGTGCTTGAAATTTCGCTCTGTGATGCTGCTCGGTAAGAAGAAAACGAAGTCAGATTTTTCTGATTGCGAGCAAAGCGTGAAAGAGACGCTGGTGGAGCAGGGCAGTGTCAGCCACCAGAGCGGGGAGCAGCCCAAGCCTGCGCACGACACCGGCTACGAGACGGAGCCCGACTGCGGGAACAGCCAGCTGCAGGCTGGGGATTCGCAGGCGTCCCGTGAGGCCAAGGACAAGCCCTTCGACGTCAAGTGCGAGCTCAAGTACGCCGACTCGGACGTGGAGGGGGACTGAAGGAGCCCACCGTCCCTCTCAGTGGCGGAAGTGAGCTGTGGTCCTGCGGCTGGCTATTTGAGCACGGAGAGCCTGGGTGTGACAGCTAAGCCATAGCAGGGGTTACACGCTTAAGCTGTACAGCAAGCCAATTTTCGTTCGGATCTCAGCAGATTAGAGAAGTGGTGTACTTGTCTGGAGACCATAGCATCTTGTGTTGTACTGTGTTTTTTTCTGTTTTTTTCAAATGGCCAGTTTCAGATCACCACTTGTTTGTTCCCAGTTTTTCCCCCCACTGAGCACTTTGCTCTAGTGAAGCTACTTGCTTGTTCTTTGGCCATATTCTTCGATAGAGTAAAAGTAACTTTATAATTCAGTTGGCTTTAAAAAGTACTTCAGTCTTCACATATATTTAGTTGCCATTAAAAAAAGATCTAGTTTCATTTTAATTCCAAATTGGAAATTGAGTTTAGTTTATCAGATTGGTAAATTATAGACTTTTGTCCAGATTGGGACATTTTTTTTTTCTTTGCTTCTAGTGATTGTTTTTAGTTTTATGCTTTGTGTTTTGGCACACTAGATCTCTTTAGTTGGTTAAAGTTAATTATTTTAACTACTCTATAAGTATCTTAGATTTTAAGGTATAATGGGGATAGCATTGCCTTGATTTGTGTAAGACTCAGGGATAATCTTGTTTAAAGGCTCTTTTCTTTGCTGCTTTCTAGAAATGTAGGTACGACAATATCAGTACAAAACATGGAGTAAGTGGGGAATGGGGAAGGAGGAAACAAATGCTTTTTTTTTTTTATTTTTTTTTTCCTCCCCCCCACCAGCCAGCCAGCTGGACATAGTCACATTTTATTTTCTATACAAAACTGGATTTATTTTTTTTTTTCTTTAGTTTTATAGAACAGTACAGGCAAGCAACTGTCAGTTAGCAGTGACACGGAAAGAGATTTCTTGCATTATGGAAGCAAAACAGGAATCAAGAAGAATTAACTCCAACAATTCAGCTGGTGACTCACTGGAATGGACTGTTAGGACACAGCCTGATGAGAAAACTTTGCTGATTTTTTTCTTTTCAGATTCAGAAATAACTCAGCTTCTTTTTGTGACAAATACTTGCAGCGTCACCCTTTCTGGATGATACCTTCACTCTCCTATGCAACTGGAGACTGAAACTGGAGCTGCTTAAACAATCAGTCCTTTGAACTCTTTTATGTGAATCATGCCTGCTAACGTGAAAGTGTGCATTTGTTCTCAGCCTGGTTCACAGCAGCACTGTTTGTCTGTAAAAGCATTTTATGTGTGCAGTACAGTCCTGAAGAATTGTTCCTTTCACTGCTTCTTTCTGTAAATATTGGTAGAAGTAGAATACATTTTAACAGTAAACAGCAGTATGCCTGGGCTGCTTTTCTGTGTTCAACTTTCATGCAAACATAATTTAGACCATCTTAGTGTAAACAGTTTATATTTTATAAGATTCAGTTTGGTTTTATTTTTCTATTTTTAATTATGTACATATTACAGAATAAATATTAAAATAAATTGTATTACATCTTGGCTTTTCTGAAACGTGACACAATGACAGTGCTTTCCATTTGGCAAGGCACTAATGTTCCTTGTGATTTTCTTTGGGGGGAATCTAAAAACTTTTTAATTAATTTGAAGCAGCCTCTCAGCTTCAATTGAAAGGGTTATAACCCAGGCGGGGAGATGGGAAGGATGGGAGGAAAACAGCATGGGTGAAGGAGAAAAGTGCTCTCCTCTAGGGGCCTAGGGACACTTTGTCTTACTACCTTTCTGAAACTCATTTGTCTTTTTGTAGTATTTCTTCATTGTGTGATGTATTTCTTGCAACTTCTTTCCTTAGTACCCTTTTACTTTCTTTTCTGTCCTCTTCTGTCATACAGCCTCATCTCCTATACCTTTCCCTCCTACTGGTACCTCCTTTTTGTCCTGTGTGGGAAGTGATTCACCTCCTTCACCCACCAGTACCCAGCCTGATGTTTGGTCTAGCAAAGACCCCATAAAGGTCATGTTGTTGCCACCTTTCCTAAGTGACCAGGCACAGCATGTTAGTGTCCGGGAACCCTTCCACCTCTTCTGCCAAGCCACAGGTAAGTTGGAGGACCCCTATATAAGCCAGCACTTTCTGCATTAAAGGTCTAGCTGTGTCACCATGTACTGTATACATTTTATTTTTGTGATGTTTGCGGGGGGAAAAACAAGAGCACGGAGAGACAGTGTCGGGATGCCAGCATGCTCTTAGCAAGAATAAGTCACTGCAAGTCCTGTACTGTATGGTGGAGGTTTTGATTCAGCAACCCACTTCAGTGTGTTAGTAGTTGATTTTATTAGGCTCATTTGCATGCTGAAGGAATTAAATGAATCAGGGTTGCATACGGATGTTTAGCAGGTAGATATTTTCATTGCCAGTGTGTGTGCAGTTTAAAAAATAGACTTTTATTGGATTTGAACTTAGCCTATTTTCTGGACCAGGTCAGTCAATCCTTTTTCCATCTTACTTCAAATGGTGAAGTACATACAGTGATAACAGCTTCCATTTTTAACAGATACATTTTCTGATGTGTACAGGAGGAAAAAGCTATTTTTTCCATAGCAGTTCTGCGCTTTTTTTTCCGGTTTTTGTTTGGATTGTTACCAAGTACAATTTGTAATTGCTGGTTTAAACTAAGAATGATTTAATGGATCGAAACAGGTCTTCATATGTAACCTTATTCTTTAAAAGAACAAGTTGTATAGACTGAATAATTTTTAAAAGTATTATTGTTCAATATTGGCATCCCTGTTGGTGTTTTGTGGATTCAGATCAAAATGCATGTCTTTATTAGCATAGATCTTAACAAAGGCAGTCTTCATGTTTCCATGGCTAAAAGGAACAGCAGAGAGATGAAGGTTCTCTCATAGAATAGAGTAATTTAGACTTGAACGCACTTTTCAGAGGTAATCTGTTCACTTTTGCAATAGGCAGTTCAGAAACTTGGTTGTCCACCATGAAAAAAAAAAAAGTTACAATAGCACAAAAGACTTTAACAGTTTGATAGTTGTGCTACAGACCTAGACTTTATTTTAGAATTACTTCCTTTTCATCCAGCAGTGCCCATCTTAATATGATGCTGATGCTGCTCTTAAAAATTGTCAGTAATTGTACTTGCTTTGTCAGTGAACTTAAGGAAGGCACAGTGTCCCTAAAGTCAGTGTGTGCACTCCATTCCTCAGGAGGTGTAGGGGTGAATAGTGGGAGAAACTCTCACAACCTCCTGACATCCAAGGGATGCAGTAATGGCAACAATGGGGCCAAGGTGACCCAGCTATGGAGGCACTTGTAATGCCTCTCAGAGCTGGGAAGGACTGGTACTTGTATTATGGGAAGAGTTTTTGCTCCCTTTGGGAAGCAAGGCTGTTGGCTGACACCTCACACTCTTCTCTTACCCGGAATTATGATTTCAGTCTCTTGATGTAATAAATGAACAAACCAGCAAATGCAAACCAGCACACTGAACTGGTGCAGATAATTGTGTCTTTCTGGGTCCTGCATATGAGGATATATTAATTCATCTTGGGTGGGGGGCGTGGCTAAAAAATTGCTTTTGCAATGAAGGTTGCTGTTTGGATTTGTTCAAATTTGTTCAGTATCTGTCGCTATTTTTTTTTTTTATTAACATAGCTTTAGTGGAACTTGATTTCTCTCACCTATGAGTATAAGGTAAAACGTGTTTCCAAGGAGCAAAAGGGTTAAATGTTGTGCCTGGTTGTCTGCAAAAAAGGATATGGCATCAGTAAATGTATCATGCAAATACATGGATTGCTACATCATCCAGTAAAAACCTCAAAGCTTATTTTTAATTAAGTTTCTAGCATAATTGTTATTTTATCAGAATTGCTGTATCTCTTCCTTTTTTTTAATTTTAAGTATCTGTTTCAAGCTGTCTGGAAACTCAGCAGGAGTTGGTGAGTTCTTTTGCTCATCTCTTACTCATCCTACATGTTTTAACTTGAAACCTCGCCTAAGGATAAGACTTTACAACCTTATAACTGGCTCATTTCCATAAGGTAAAATTAAGTGGATACAACACAAACAGCACTTGTGGCAAACTGCTACTTTTTTTTCTGAAAAAATAATTTTTTTCAAGCATAGAATACCCCTGCCCTTTTGGAAAAGGGAGGAATAAATCTCCCTTCACAAATTTTCTCCCAGCTTGTCTCTCTCAACTCTTCCAAAGAGTTTCCCATTTCTCCAGAGGCCTGTCTGCTTTATGTTCATGAGCAAACATTAGGTTTCCTGTGCACTTTCTCTAAAAGAAATTTTCTCTCCCATTACAGAATTTTTAAAAACTTTTAGAGGCAGTTCAGGCAAGCTTCAAGTAAATTGAACAAAATACGACACCATGTGGTTCAGGAGATTGACGGTGAGTTGGTAATATACACACCTGCTAATTTCTCTGGTGTGCTCTGTGGAAATTAAGTATAGTAGGAACAGGTTTTTTCCTAGAGTTTTGGTTGTGCTTGAAGATGTTTTACTGGCACCTCCTCCCCCAGCTTTAGAATCCACGTCCATAACTTCAGGGACAAAACTTAAAGTACGTCGAGTGTGCTTTGCGGCAGTTTAAATGCTTTTATAATCGTAAGTGCTGCAAAACGCTGTGCTTCACCTGCAGGTCGAGCTTCTCTCTGTCTGTGGTGTCAAGATGACTCCCTCCCTTAGTTCATGAGCAGCTGGAGATTTTACATATAGTCTTGGTAAAAAACTCCAGCAACGTGAGCATGAGAGTTCTGTGGACTTGGGAATACACTTTGAAGGAGTTACTATTTTGTGGAGATACTGATCTGGGGATCTGATGACACCCACATACAATGCCTGTTCCCTGTGGTTATGCTATTTTAGAAGGCATACAAGAAAGTTTCCCATATCTGTGGAAGAAAAGATCCATAAATTGCAAGAATCAGAATTGCAGGTGGTTCACTAGAGATTCCTCTTTGGTGAAGCCTGAAGTTGCACTGAAAGATGTGCAGAAGGGTAGGAAAATACAAAACAGAGTGCAGTGGAAGTACAAGATGCAGTGCACTGCACTTCAGGAGGACGGCTGCAGACCAGAACTCTTGACAAGGCACCTGCAGAGCAGGTGTGAAAGAGACCAGCCCCAGGCTTGTCCAGGTGCCTGAGGGCTGCCTGTGAGGGTGTCAGCACGTGCTGGTGCATGGCAGGTCTCTCTCTGCAGACGGGCTCAAAAGCCCACATACCTTGCTGTGCCTGATCTTTTTTCCCCCCAGGAGGAGGAAGTCGCCTGTCAGAGACTGACTTACCGATGGAGATGAGTAGTTCGTTCTTGGGTGAGGTTTTTTTTGCATCATTTGCATGATTGCATCAGCCACGGTGCCCTGGGGTGGTCTGGTCTGGTGTAGAGCTCAGCCAGGAGAGGCATGGAGGTGTGCAGCATCCAGAGCAAAATGAGACCGCCTGGGCATGTTCTTTGTGCTGGACAAAATGACAGCACTTAAATTACAGCATTGTCAGTATCTTATAGTGGATTTTACTTGGGTTGTTATTTTCTGTTCTTAGAAGAACACAAATACCAAATAGCAAATTTTCATACACTTGTGTTTTGTAACCAGTTGAAGTGGCTCTTAATTATGGCAATGGACAGATACAGCGTTGGGCTTTGATATGTGATAATGGCTTAATTGGAAGCCTTGAAAGGAAAAGCTCTGCATCTTCCAGGACAAATGAATCCACTGCACAAATATTTCAAAACTTTATAAAATTTTCAGATTTTTATGCAGTATATTTTGATATTTACACAGTGATGCTTTCCTGAAGCAATACCCATGACTGTAATTTGTATGCTTAATAAATGGTCGATTTACCTTCCTGTGGGAATGGTAAGTTTGCAACTTGTTAAACGGTTTCATATCCCACTTTATGAACTGCCTTCTCAATAGACCTGTGGTTTTATCACATGCTCTTTGACTTAATTTCACTGTCTTTGGATACAGTTATCTTGTAGCTGTTAATTTGTCATTTTGTGGTTTTGTACCATTTTTTTCAATTACTTCTGCACTGACTAAACACTGCTTAACAGCACCATGGCACTATAACATCTTTCCTGTCTGCAGATCTCTGACATGCCTCCTGTTTATTGTTATTTGGGATACATCTAGAAGACAAGTTGTAAAATTAAGATTGTTCCTTCAGTATATAACAGAAAAGGACTTGGAATTTTATAAAATTGAGCAAATATCCCAGATCTACTTTACATAAAACTTGCAGACATTAAAGATACCCTTGTTACTTTAGACTGTAATATCTTAGGAGTGTAATTTTCTTACCATAATGCTGGCATTTCTTTTCTCAGACATGGGGCCTTGCTGAGACCCTCATAGCTAAGTCTGCATGCAAAAATAACAGCATTTAACACTTTTGTTAGGTGCTGCAGTTACCTGAGCTGTGGTGGCTTCCTTCATAGTGACTTCTGTAATAAAACTGAAAATTAATTTTTATTAGGACTGTGATGTGGATGATGCATTCTTAAATTCCAGCATCAGTGGCAGATTTTGAAAGATTTCTGTAGAGATTACCTTTGCTGTGCAGTTTTATGTGTAAGGGCTGTGGTCAAGCTACATGTGCAAAGATGTGCAACGAGAATGCCTTTCCAGGGTGGTGGTGTTACTGTTGTGTTTTTTGTTTTATTTGGTTGGTTGGTTTGGGATTTTTGGGGTTTTGTTTTAACTTTACATTAGTTTTCCAGTAAAGACTAGAATAAGTTCAGTGTAAAAATAATTTAAGCATAAGGCAAATTAAAAAGCATCAGTTAAAAAAGGGGTGAGAGCAAGGAAAGTAAGTAGAACCAAAAGTGTCTTGTTATTTTTTCCTCAGAAGATTTTGTTGATTTATCATTTCCCTACATTTCACAGTGTGCAGCTGACGGCACTCGTACAGGTTTTCCCGTGGGATGAATAATGAGATGCCGTTGGGAAACATGTGGCTTTTGGTAGTTTATAAACGATAAAAACATAAAGAAGCACCTAAAATACCTTGGGAGATTCAGAGCACTTAGGATTAGCGGCGGTGGCCTGCAGTAGTTACTGCTGTTGTAATGGAGGCTGCAGGTGTGCTGCAGCGTGTCCCATGCACATCAGTTGGTGTTTTGTACCCTCACCACAAAGTCGTACAGGCTGCAGCTCGTGTCAGCAGAGGGACTGGGGAAACGGACCATGAATTGCATGGTTTCCAGAGCTTCCCACTGCTACCCTCACACCCTCAATAGGGCATGAAGGTAACAAATTCTGCTGAGGCCAAGGATAAGAACTGGCACCTCTGTGCAGGAGCAGCTTTGCTGTTTCGTTGTCTAGTTCAGCTTTTCAGTGTGCTTGGGGACTGGGTGCTGCATGGGCTGTCAGCAGAGACTAACTGCCTGCGTCACAAAGCGGGCAGTATTCTCCATTTGAATTCAATGTACGCGGTTCTGGGAGACTACGAGGGAACAGAACCTGCATCAGCTTTTTTAGTGTGACTAGGTAGCTTTAAAAGGAGAAGTTTGCTTCACACTGGGGTCTTTGAGACCTGAATGCCTTTTGGGATTTCTTCTCTTACGAGGGAGAGGGATTCACTTATGCGTGTATTTTCTTCTCCGTACCATTTGCTCACAAGACTTTACTTGCTCCCAGTTTAGTCTTTCCTTTTTTGCAATTCAGAAGAAATATTTAAACTCTTTCTCCTTGCTAACGTGGACCTCTTGATTCAGTAATGCCTCAGCTTGAGCAGCATACTGGTAATAACTGCTACACCCCAGCCATGGTTGAGCAGCTCTATTTCCCAGCCCTGCCTAGTGAAGTGTGATGGGTTTGGACTGGTGTTGGAATTTGGACCATAGCCACGATTTTACACCGTTCTCAGAACATCTTGTTACCCCCCCTGGCAGCCAGGATTGCAACCTGACTACTGTACACTTGTGTTTCTGCCCCATGAGAGCTGCAGCCTATAGACTTGTAATTAGTATCTATTGGTGTGGTGGCTGATGAACTGAGCACTAATTTAGACCAAAGCATCCTTTTTAAACTATTTCAGCAGGAACTGCTACCAGAACTATCTCAGCATGTTGTGTGCATTGTCCCCAGAGTGGAGATGAAAATCTCATTTCCATCTCTTCTACGTGACAAGCAAAGCAAATGCAGTAGTAGTAGTACATTTCTCTGGAGAACAGGAGTGTTATTCTTTAAAGTATGTTCTCCAATTCTCTTCACTTTATTTTAAAACTTAACGTAGTAGACTTGTTAGCTGATAGAATGGCCAAAAATAATTGGGCAAACACGAAGTGCTAGGGGGAATTTAGGCTGGACATCAGGAAAAAGTTCTTCACAGAAGGAGTGAGTGGGCATTGGAATGGGCTGCCCTGGGAGGTGGTGGAGTCACCATCCCTAGAAGTGTTTAAGGAAAAACTGTATGTGGTACTCAGTGCTATGCTCTAGTTCATAAGGTGGAGTTATGTTGTAGGTTGGGCTTGAGGATCTCAAAGGCCTTTCCCAGCCTAGTTAATTCTGTGATACTGTGAAAGTGAAACCTAATTTTTAATTTTTTGATTTTTTAATTTATTTTTTTTGTGACAGTCCCAGGTTCTGTCTTACTAGTGCTTCATAGTTTTGGGTTTTGGGGGTTTTTTTTAGAGACAATTATTTAGGTTCTAATTGCAAAACCTTTTTCTGGACACCCTCAGAGAGCATCTGAATAAATGCATGAAGAGTTACCAGTTGCATTTTTATTTAATGGGTCAGTCAGCCACTTTCCCAACCTGCTTTTAAATTCCACTCAGAGAAGACAGATGCCATGTCCTGCTTGCACCTACATGTGCTATGCATCACCTCTAGTGACTGGTTGCTGCTTCCACCTCTTAACGTGGTTCACATTTCGCAGGAAGCACATCCTGCTTTTCATCTGCCATAATAAGGCTGCAGCAGCTTGTGGTGTTGATGATACACAAAGGGAATGGGTAATTTAATGAAGCACCAGGTGTCTGAAGGACATAATTTCTTCAGTATGAAATACTTGTTATTGGAAGTAATATTTGGCATTTCAGAGAGGTCTGTTTTCTTGGCTTTTTAAGGGGACTTTTTTCCACTGCTGTCAAGCTTGTCTTCTAGAATGAATTGGCCTAGTTCAACAATAAAACACCACCCAACGAAACTACAAAAAAATGCACCCCAGTTGTAGGGGTGTAATTAATTGTAGGGGGTACAGGCTATGTAACTTGCACATTGTTCAGAAAACTACAAAAAAAAAAAATCCCCACTTTTCCAGTCAGCTACCCTCTGATGGCTTCGTTTCATACAGGTAAATTGTTGTGGTATCTTACCAGCAGCAATGACTCAGACTATTACAACTCAAGAAACTGTGACCAGCCCTAAACCTTTCATTCCCATCCTGAGTAGTGCTGGTGGTAATGTTTCATATTAATGATTGACTAACCTCTTCCTGGGCTAACTTTGATGTCTGATTTTTAAAAAAACCTTCCTGTATCCAGTTTATAGTGCCTTTTTAAAACTTAATCCCTGCTCCAGATGAGCTTCCTGTATGATCTTGGTTTTCAGAAATCTGGGATGTTTGCTTCAGTAGCATTCAGCAAAGCCACAAGCTTGATAACAAGCAGTAAATCCAGATGTTGTCCTTAATCTGATGCACGTGGTGAGCTTTGAAAGAGGTTTTGGTCTGTATTGGGTTTACAAGGGAGGTTTTTTTTTTCCATAAACTTGAACTTCCCATCCCTGTGGATAGCCTCTGGTAGCAGTTCCTTGTCTAGATTATAGGAATATCTGTAAAAGACATTTTGTTACCCTGGTAGAATTTCTCTCTGGTACACCTGTTGGTATCTTCACTGGATTTCAATTTGCTATCAATTTGCAGAAATTATTAGCTGGGGTGTAGGTTTTCTGATGGCTCCTGCTTTTGTACCAACTCCCCTGTCTTGGAAGTGTTTCTGTGAATATAAGGAAGCCTTAGTCAAATGCTCCCCCCCTTCAAGAACTGGGTTAGAAATGAGGGAGACCCTGTGCTGGATCACCACCAGTGTCAGCACTGCTCAGCTTTTACAGTGCAGCTTCATTGGGCTGCTTTTGAAATGTCCCCACAGCTCTCTGCACATGGCAGGGTTTGGCACGAGGAGCCAGCTTGGCCAGTGTTCCCTTTTGCTCCCCCTGCCTTATGTCACCGAGCTCTGCTTATAATCCATAATCTACTCCTTTTAAATTAGTGTCTCCACGCCCTCTTGAAAACTGTTTGTCTGTTAGGCTGTGATGTGTGTATGGCAAATGCTTAATTTGGTCCAACTTAGCAGGGTGCATCCCCATGCTGCTCTAAATCTGTAGGTGCATACTTCAGTTCTTTATTTTAAATATTTATCTATATGGTTTTATTTACTTCTTTCAAGGTCAAATTTACACCAGTAACCCAGTGAATGCAGTCAGACTGTGGGTAGAAAATTACAAAAATTGCAGTGGTTTGAGTTTCTGTGCTCACAATGGTAGTTGAGGTTTTTTTGTCTCATGGAAAATACTGAGAAAAAGTCACTTGGGTATAAAATATGTGAGTTTTGTAACCCAGCCTGATTTGATATAGGTTAGAGAACCCATTCTGCTGGCAGTAGCTACCTGGGCCATTACTACTGTGGTCATTAAGATAATGCCACAAAGCTGCCTGTATTTTTGTTAGATAACTGTTAATTCCCCTTCTAAAATCATCAAGGTGTTGAAGTTGATTTTATTTAGTCATGTAATTAATGTAGTTTATTGAAGCAATGTTTTTGAAGTTAACTATTTGAAATGCATTTCATGGCTGCTTAGACATAGTTACTTAAGTACCTAGCCTGGTATGCTATTTAATTCTCTCCTTGATTATTATGTTTTAATAAAATTATTTCTTTAAAATCTTTCAAGCATTCCTAACATGGATGGCAAAGTAAGTAGATCAGGTCAGAAACTTTTGTTTAAAAGATTGCACTAGATATGGAATTCATCTGTATTATTGTGGCAGTAAAAAAAAAAAGCAGAGTATGTTTCTATTATTTTTTTTATCTTCAAAAACTCTCTAACCATTACATCTGAATCTGAATTTCTCACCATAGAGTTGTAAAAAAATTGCATTTAACAAATGTGATTCAAAATTTTTGCAGATAATACTGTTTCACAGTGTCCTTTTTTTCTATTGATCCATCCTGAAAATCAAATCAGAGAAGGTAATTACCTGAAAACTGGAAACAAGCTGCACTGCAACAGGATCAGGAAAACCCTGAGTACTGCTTGCACCTAGATTTTGCTGTCAAACAGTGTAAGTGGGGATGAGTGTGTATCTCTGGGGATTTCCAGTGCTTCTGACTGCACAAAAACAATGGAAGGGTAAAATTGCCTAGTTGCACTTGGTAAGGGACCAATCTGAACCAACACAGCTTTCAAAATTTCATATATAAGGAAATTGCTGCATTTTAATCTCTTGGTGA